GACCTTGATAATCATTCTGTTAAATGTTTCGAAGATCTTAAGTCTTCCGGAAACGTATGCGTTTGCATGCTGTCTAAATCAAGAAGGACTCGTCGAATTTTTTATAAATCACTTTCATTACTATTGCGCATCCTCCGATTTTGCTGTGTTTGCTAAACCCCTCTACAAATAGGTAAATGATATTTAGATATTTTTACCACCCAGCAGGCAATGTTAAAACCAATTTAGCATGAAGGTAAGATAATGACTATTTGCACATCATTGCTATTTGTAAGCGGTTAAATATACAACAGAAAGTAGAAACAGTGTTATGGGTAGCAAGCATAGTGTTTTACATCCGCCAGCGATATATATTTCTAAAACAGTGGTTCACAAATTATAGAAAAATATGAAGAGTTCCGAACGAATTATTGGAAAGGACTTTTTCCCATGAAAATACATGTGAATGCCAAATTTCCTAACATTTGAAAGAAGAAAAACTATTTGGCAAGGGAACATGAACGAGCAAGGTTGCTTGCTTCAGAGCGTAGTACCTGACTATGAAGACAGTTCAGCAAGTGATTACGAAACGTCAATATACAGCACTCAAGAATGATTTTTTTGAATGTCAACTCAAGGAAAACTGACAGTGGACGTGAGCTTTCGTCATCTCGGTTCACAATATTTACCTAATATTATATATATCTGACTGTCTGATGTGAATCGAATGTGCCTCAATATGTATAAATTGCTACCCATTTCTGTTATTCATCCAGTTGCTTACTCGCAACTACGATTGCTAACGTTGCATTTTATTTTTACTACAGTAGTAGTTTTGTAATGACGCGGCCCCTGGACCGTAAATATACAATTATTATAAGTAGTAACCAGGATTGAGTTATCATTATCGTAGGCTATAGGACGTAATAGAACAGGAAGAATGCTTTTGTGTGAATTGGTAGCCGCGGTTAATTTGAGTTCCGGTCGAAAGTGGCGTAAGCGGCGTGTCTTCACGGTGAAGGTGCAGCATTTTTTCCAGACCCTAGTGACAGCCTCCAGTACCATCCTTCCCTTTAGACAGTTATGCATAATAGTTGCACTTCCATCGAGGGTTCCACGGTGTGATCCCCTTCTCCACTTATGTATTGATATCTCCATTGGCTTCCCACTACGTTGCATGTCTGCTATGTTTAACGAAGTTACTAGTGGATTTACAATATGTGGATATATTCAGAAGATGGCGGCCGCAGACAAACCTCCATGTGCCTGTCCAAACCAGATAGAAGCTAGGCTATCGAGAAGCCCCGGTGCGCTTGGGCATTACAAAGCAGCAAACGAAATTAAGGCGGTCTAAACCGTGCACGTTAATACGATTCCGAATATTTACGGAGGTTACGGGTTACGGAGGCATTTTGTTTCGTAAGGGACAAGATGCATGTAGACGTAATTTGTAGACGGTCTCCTACATTCTCATTGTCTTTGACTTGAGTCATAGAGAAAGCTGATCGGAAAGCATTCGGAAAATAAAAGGTCAGTTGAATAAGTTTTACGATAAAGTTTTAGTTTATACGTGAATGAATTATGTGACCATAGCTTACGAGCCGACCAATGGTAAGTGACGGCGTGTAATTGACTCGGGGCGTGACTCAGCGAAAGGGGCTTTTCCGAGCAAGTGAATAAAGTATTTTTTGCTACTCTACAGGTGCAAACGCAAAGAAATTGGCCGAAGACCTGAAGGTCTTCCCATTGCAGCCCCCAGAGTGAAGTATTACATTACTATCCACTTTTGTTCTCTCCGTTGTCCCCGTCAGTTTCATTAGTTCATCCCTTCACCGCTCTCCCCTCACGTACCTTGTTCACATAGTAATGAACATTCACAGTTCTGCTATATTCTTGGAGTATTGTGTGTGTCTGTTAACGAGTTGAAGGAGATGCCTGATTCAGTCGACAAGACCACACAAAGTCATTCTTTATTCGGTGAACAAGTACCCGGCTCGGGACCACAATAATCCCCCTCTACAGAGTGTTTCAATAAGTGAAACGACCACCCTGCTAAAATAATATCTTATTTCGTTGGCATGGTGTGAATGGAGGGTCGGTACTTTTGAAAGTATATCACTGCGAATGTTTTTTCATGGGACCTGCATGTCGTAGACAGAATTTTAATGATTATAGGAAGCATATGTCGGAGGAAATTCCCAGATATTAGCTATATATGGAAGAGTTTAGACCAGCACTGAGAACCCTATGATGGTTATATGCACATCCCTGGCGATCACTACCCATAACGAAATTAACGTTTCACAAGGAAAATTTCAGAACTGAGAAGACTAGCTTGGTTGTCCCGAGTTCTCATTCTTATTTTGGCGTCCCTTCTCAGAAGTATGTGAAGGG